ATTATTAGTTTTGTTTTTAAACTATTGACATTATTAAAACAACTTCTCTATTTGACTAATTAAATTTAGATACACTCCCGATTTACGATATGACATAGCAAATAGTCTCAAAGCCTTGTAAGAGCATGAAGCTCTTAAAAGAAAGTAAAAAAAAGTGTTGAAAACACCTCTAAATTTGCTGAGAATTTAGGGGGTATTTCACTCATGTTGTAAGATCAAGGGTGTATTTAAGTTTAGTTAGTCAAGTAAATGAGTGTTTTTAAATCTGTCAATAATTCAAAAATAAAACTAATAATTTATGTCGAGTTTAAGAGTGTTTTCAATAATTTTCTTTTATGGTATTTGATTGAACGAAAAGTGTAAATAACAAATAACTTAAATGTTTATAACATAGCACAATTAGTATTTTAATTATCAGTAGTAGTTAGTGATAATTAATATGGCATTACAAGAGTATTTTATTAAAAATAAAATGAAATTTATAAGAATATAAAGTTTTGAAATATAAAAATGTCTCAATCAAATTTCAAATGCTTTTAGAAGGAAAGGGACTGCGGCTCCACCTGCTACTGTATGTAATTTGAATTTTAAAGATTTAAACTGAAGTTCCAGTTTTGAAAAGGATAATAATTAGAGACAAAACCGTATGTTCCAAATCTGAAATGTTTATTCCCAAAATATATTTTAGTTTGTCTTAAAAAATATTGTTTCAAAAAAAAAAAAAAGTCATTTACACTTTCGTTTCGATTTTGTGCTGGACTTTTTCAAGATAGATAAAAAAAAGAGAGTAAATTTTAGTAATAACAAAGATAAAAATTATATTAGCGCTCTATAACTATAGTTTTGCTATTTGCGCTCCATAGACAATTTATGTTTGTTATTGGAGCATCTGATTTGTATAAATCGCGTCAATTTGTATAAATCGGGCACTAATTCATTTGTGTATATGAAAATTACGTTTGTATATGTATATGTTCTCTATGTTAGGCTAAAGTGGCGAGCGAGATTGGGAGAGAGATGAGAGAGGCGAGCGAGAGAGGGCAGAGAATGGAGAGAGGTGAATTGTATATTTGTAGCTACTATGTATATATATCAATGATTGTGTTTGCATATCTGTATAAAATTTGAATTCGTATACAATTGAATCGAGTAAAACATTTGTATTTGTATATCAAATCTCTCTCTCGCTTTATACAAACACAAATTATACATTATATTTTGTATAAGTTGTGTTTGTATAAAGCGAGAGAGAGAAAGGCAAAAGAGAACTGGGCAGATGAAGAATTGTAGTTGTATAATTATAAGTGTATAGGATAAAGAGATATGTATTTATATATGCAGTCTCTCTCACTTTATACTTCAAACATAAACACTAATTATTCATTTGTGTTTGTATAGCGTGAGAGAGGCGAGGGAGAACTGACGGAAAAAGAGGAGAGTGGCGAGCGAGATTCAGAGAGAGGGAAGAGAGGCAAATGACAAGAAGTTTGTTGCGAATCGAAATTAAATAAAACAATAGGTATAACATTTAATCTGAATTAATAGTTTGTTATAATGCACATTTTTTTCCAAAAAAATTGACGAAGACACAAGTTTATATTTTCACATAACAAAATATTGATAAGTTATGTCGGATGCCCTTAAAAAAGTTATGTCCCACCAGACAAACAAAAAATTAAAGGACAATGAATTTGAAGAGCAAATAATGCAATTAAATGAAAAACAATTATGAAAACAAAGTAGTACGTCCAATTCGTTCAACAAAACTATGGGCCTATCCCAACGTCCTGTGTCTTTTTTTTCTCTCTCGGTTTTACCCCTTTCTTTCTCGAAATTGCATTTTGATTCAATATATTTTCTTGGTGTCAATTTATGTGACACATTTCATTTTTCGAAAGTTAACAGTTTAAGTCCAGCCGAAAATTTGCTCATGGAATCTTCAATTTAAAAAAAAATGAAATTTATATATTTATAAACTATGTAAAAAGTATTATAAGTCACAATTATTGACAATTCAAAATATTTAAAAGATAAATGAAAAACTTACAATCAAAGATAAACTTATTTGAGTCTCGAAATCTGAAATATGTAACATAAATTGAGGTAGAGGGAGTATTATTTATTTATTTTGGAATAATAGCATTTTTGGTCATTATGTGATTGCTAAGTTCTAATTTTGATTATTGTTATATACAACTCAGTTTATTTAACTTTTAACTAATAAAAATGTGATTTTGGTCCTTTGATGTAGAGAATGTATTATTGACTATGCATAGACAGACATACATATATTACCGTGAAATATGAAATAGTAATATAATTCAACAATAAGTGAGCGACCAAAAATACTATTATCCCTAATTTTTCTTCTTGCCATATCTCGATTCTACTTTTTAGCACCATTTAGATATTTAGGCGTTAATTTCGCGGATGATTCCTTGATTTTATTTTATTATATCAAAGTCATTAAACTATTTTTTTGTAACGAGTAAAAGATGCCAGATATATATATATATATATATATATATGTGTGTTGCACAATTGTATTATTGTGAGGAGTAAAAGATGCCACCGTAATGTGGCTCAAGGCACATGATAATTTTTTAAAAAATTGGCATCACCGACGATTTTAATATCTTTTACTATATGTTCCTACCAAAGTATATATTGAGTCCTAAAGTTACGCCTTTAATGCTTAGCTTGGACTAGGCATGATACACCCAACTTGATTTGTTCCTCCTTGTGGTGGTGGGGTTCCTATAAAAATATCATAAATCTTACAACTTATTTATGTTGCATTTCTGTCGTTGACAATAACAAAGTACGTACTATTATTACTACATTTAAAGAGTGATTGTTTTAACTTCAATTTACATCATTGTGGTTTGTGGATCTAAATAAAATTAAACATATAAATGTCTCATTACGTTCAAAGTTTGATTTTTAAAATAAAAGACGGAGTAGCTATTGGTATATGAGAAAACATGTTGCATGTATGATTTTGGCTAGTTTCTTGAGGTATATATATATATATATAATGACCTAGCTTCTACTGGACTCTGATCATTTTATTAGTAGTAATGTTTTTGGCTTGTCTTTTAGCTCTTCGTGAGCAGGTTTATGTATTTTCTCATATAGCTATTGGTATATGAGAAAACATTGAAACTGAAATTCCTACAAGGTATATAGGCATCGAAAAAAGAAAATGTTTTGCAAAATCCATTGGATAACCATGCTTTCGTCTCCTACCACTTTATTTTATACTATATCTAGAAGATGAGAATTTTTTTAGGTTTAAATAGAGGTAGTCCTAGATCAAAATATTAGGAATCAAAGCAAGGAAAGAAGCATTGATGGCATGGGGGATCGCACCTTTAGCGAAGAAATAAGGTAACCAGCTGGAAGGTCTATTATGGAAATTAAGAGCTCGTTCCGCACCTGTTATAGCTAGTACATTTTTTGTACCCAGTTCAAGTTCATACTAGTCATGTACAAAAGGGAAACTTATAGTTTGATTGATAGGTCCGAAAATGCTTCTTATTGATTTCGTCATTTTCTATCACAGACGCTATGTCATTTTCAATTCCAGTGTATTTCAGATGCTTGAAGTCGTTGCTGACGAAATTCAAAACTTGAGAAGTACGGAAATATTGACGGCCTTTGCTGAACAGAGAGTGAACGGACAGCAAGTGACTTTGATCTCATCACCTAACTATTGCCTGAAATAATCTTTTGTGAAATACATAAGAAAAAACACACAAGTCTAGCTTGTTTCCTTTTTAGACCTTATTTTCACATGAGTCCATGTCTTATCGTTTTGGTGCAGGCAGGGGCAAGCCTTTTCTTCTATTCGTATAGACAAAATAATGCAGCGTTGCAGCAATTAGTGTTACATCTACTCTTCAGTCCTCAAGTGTGGGGATAATTAACAACTAAATGCTGCTAGTCTGGCATATGATAATGCTCTCTCTGCCTATGAAATCTGAATGTTTGATCTTTCTATTGTATGCTAATAATAAAGAAAGCCGTTAACCTAGCTAGTTCCTCCTGGCAATTGGATCTTTGGAGTTTGTCTAGGATGTGTTCCTGAAACTGTAGATCAAACATTTTTAGCCCATTATAAGAATCTTCATATAATAATTTATATAGTTCAAACACTACAAGAAATGAAATAGCATGAACAACGTAGTCATTAGAAGGTGCCACCAAGACATAAATGTAAGTCTTACAGAGTGGTATATGGTTAGACCAACTATGTTGTACGCGGTGGAGTGTTGGCTGGTCAAGAACTCATATGTTCAAAAGTTGAAAGTTGTGGAAATGAGGATGATGAGATGGATGTGTGGGCATACTAAAAGAGATAGGAATAGAAACAAAGATATTCAGGACAAGGTGAGTAAAGTGAGGTGTGAGAGGTTAGTTTTAATGGATTTTGGTAGTAGAAGTAGACCAAAGAAGTATTGGAGAGAGATGATTAGATAAAATATGACGCAGTTTCAACTTATCGAGGACATGACCTTAGATAGGCAGTTATGGGGCACACGGATTAGGATAGAAGATTAGTAGATAGGTGTATGTTGTCAAGCTTCTCCTTTCATACCAGTAGTAGCATTTACCCTCATACACTCTTCTTCATTAATTTTTGTAACTATATGATGTTTTTTTTTTTCATTTGTCGATTATCTTCGTATTCTGTTCTGGTTTGTTCATTTCTTTTCAGCATATTTTGTCATACTTTCTTTAATTTTTGCCATTGCATCTTCCTTAACTCCCAAAATAGGGATAAGGTGAGTGTACACTCTCGTTTCCTAGACTCCATTTGTGGGATTGTTGTAAAGTCTCCATTAGAAGAAACCCACAAATTGTATAAGAAAAAGGAAAGAGAATCATGTACAAAGTATAGTAGAAGTATTTAGGAGATGACAACAACATAAAGCTAATTCCTCTATACTCAAAACAATATGCATCAAAGCACTGAAACTAGCTACCTTATAGAAGTATTTAGGAGATACAACAACATAAAGCTAATTCCTCTATACTCAAAACGCTATGCATCAAAGCACTGGAACTAGCTACCTTATAGAAGGTAGAGACAGTTATTTATGTACTAGAACTTACATTGAAAAATGCCTAATTTTCTAAGCAAAGATCTCAATTCAAGAAAGAAAAAAAATACACATACACTCACTCATAAATCATTTCCGCTTAGCTTTTCTATGGCCACGGTTGAAATCATCATCACTATTTTCACCCTCGTCCTCCTCATCAGTGGTGTTTTCGTCATCGTCATCAGTCCCGGAGGGAGGTGAAGGATCAAGCCTAGCAGCATCAATGGCCCACTTAATCACCTTTTCAACTTCATCATCATCATCCTCTTCATCCTCCACCACCGCGTGTTGCTTAGCAGATGATGAAGCCGAAGAATAAGAGGGAAGTGAGCTTTTGAGAGATGCAAATCTGGTAAGCAAGTCATCTGACTCGTCGGTTGGTGAGGTAGCTGAAGGTGGCTGATTGACTAAACCCTTTTGGGAAATAGGTTTTTTGGGGGGAGTTTGCTTGGATCTGAGGGCTTGAAAACGTTGATCGAGATCTGGATCGATGAATTGGGTGGAAGAACCTCGAGCCATATGGGAATTCAGACTCAGCTTGAGGGACACGTCATCCTCTGCCGCACGGAGCAGCTCTTCCACCTCCTCCAATTCGCTCTTCCTATTCCGGCTATTCATTCTATTCCTCTCGATGCCCCGAAAAATACCTATTCAAGTTTTCAGTTAGACAAAATAGTCTTCTCTCGTTTTCTTATTTAAAAACCGGCCCAATATATATTATATATAGTTCTCACTTCGTTCCAATTCATGTGACACAAAATGAAATTTGAACTTTTTATATCATTTTCAAACAAGATATGTTACTCTTTATCTCAACTTATGTGACATTATTAGTGCTTTCGGGTCATTTCAAATCATATATGTTACTTCATCTGTCCCAATTTGTGGCACCGATAGAATTTTGTCATTTTAGAAGTCAATCATTTTTTTAAAATATTTTAAGTTATTAATTATAGGCACTTTTAACGTAATTTTTATATATATAACAGACTGTTCCAACACATTGCAAAGGAGAAACCTCAAGATATGTCAAAGTTGAGTTGTTAAGCAAGCAATATTGATACGTCAAATCCTCAGCCATGAAATAAAGAGACCAAAAAGAGGAAAATTTGGGATATAACTTTTCTTGGAACAATTTCAAGAGTAGAAGGAAAATGACATCTTCTACTTGAACCTCAAATAGATTAATGCAAAATTCATCATATTTACAAATAAAACCTCCAACACACTACCTTCTCTGGCTGATATTGATTGGCGAAGCTAAAATAATACACTTTTACTTGATGTTCAATAAACTACATATATCGCGACATGGAAAAGAAACCAAATTCAGTAGATATGTGTTTATCATGAATTGTCTTGCTTCTCAGCTCTACACAAGACTCTAGCTTTACGTACCAAAAATCCAATTTCACGAGGCATTATCCCCAATGTGTGTACATGGAAATATAGTTGCATTTCAAAGTGACTCACAAGCTTTCTTGCAATTGGTTGAGCAGTATGTCAGATCCTTCATCATTATCAGATGTATCCTTCTCTATTTCCGTCTCACTACTGGTAATTGTACCATTTGATAATGGAATATATGACATGTACTTTTCATCGTTAAGACACCCAACTTGCTTCAACACCTCCAACAGGGCTTCTTTATTTTGTGTATCATCTTCCTGCTCACAAAGCCTGAGAATGGAAGATACAGTTGCAGGTTTCGGTCTCCAGCTCTTTGATCCCTCAGTTGAAACAGCATCCTTCAAGCATGACAAAGCCTCTGATATTCTCCGATCCCTGATATGGCCTTCGGCAAGGATCTCACATGTCATTGAGTTTGGCTTTCCACCAGCTCCAATCATTTGGTCGAAGAAAGCACTAGCCTTGTCCACAAAACCCTTCCTCACATAATAACCCAACAAAAGATTTCCTATTCTAGGATCATAGTGCACCTTAACAGGTAGCCACTCATCATATATCTTTTCTGCACCTTCAATATCATCTAACCTCACCAGAGAAGATATTACAGAATGATATCCCAGGTTTGGAATATTTGGAAACTGCGATTGGTAGGTTTTCCAGATTCGGAGAACCTCTTCCTTTTTACCAAGACTACCATAGAGACTGATGAGATAATGATATGGAATTCGATCACGACCTGTGATTCTGCTCTCAACACTTTTCAAAGAGTCTTCAGCTTTTTTCAACTCCCCCAACTTAATGTACATAGTAGCCATAGTGCTAAATGTAGTCCAATTTGGATTGATATCAGTGTCCAGATTCATTTGTTCGAGTACTTTTTCCATTTTTTCTATAGATCCTTGAGATCCACATGATGATAACCAGATATTGTAGGAATATATATCTAGTGGAATTTTTTTCTCCTTCATTTCTGAAACCACGGATTCAACCTTGTCGTAGTCTTTAAGGTTCATATAGAGTGTCATCATCACATTGAATGGAAGAGCATGATCTGTGTAGCCTCTGTTTCTCATTTTATCGAGTAAAGATTCAGCTTGTTCCTTCTTTCTAGACCGCACAAAGGCATTTAAAAGAGACCCATATATCCGCTTATCTTTTAAGGTGTCTGGTAACTTCTCGAAGTATTCTTCAGCACTTGATATTCCATGTACTTTTGCTATCAGGTCTAATTGAATAGCAGTATCACTGGTGGTTAGTCTAAACCTCTCTGGTGTATTGTTCATCCACTCATACACCTGCAGGATACAAGATTAAGTTAAGCCCCAATGGAATTGCATTGCATGCTGAAATACAGTAAACTCAAAGAGTTAAATGAGTACTAAATGGGATAAAAAAAACTCAATACAAGAACGATTAATCAAGTTTTCATAATAGGACTGACAGAAAAAATGCATATTTCTCTAGTATACCAATTTACATTTGTATTCAGTCTAGCTGACAAGTTTCAGACCACAAGAAGTATATTGATACTCATTCAAAGTTTACAAGTTTCAGACTTTTGCACTTGGTTCAGACAGAGTGATAAAAATGTCCAGATTTTGAATTCTTTTAGATCATTAGTTTCACTTGGTCACAAAATAGACCAAAACATAGTGCACACTGCACAATTTCGTGCATCCATCAGGAAAAGGTTCAAATGAAGTAGCTTGCAAAGAGGAAGTTCCCTGGTAGATACCACTAGATAGAGCTACTAGTAAGATGGGACATTATTTTTTTGATAAGGTGAAGATAAAGCAAGATCGGACATCATTATGGTAAACAAGGCAATAGCTTCGGTTAAAGTAAATCCCAAGAAGATAAATTCCAACAATGTCTTGCACATAGACTGAAACAGAATATAAAGATAAAAATAATCGCATGACACTCTTACCGGCCACCGCCTCAAACACAAGAAGAAAAAAAATTCTGTCTAAGCAAACCTTCCCAGAATCCATATCCACAGACACAATCTAAAATTTGCAGTACTCTTATCTGGATCGCATCTTCCTACTTCAGGATAATTGCAACAAGCAGCTCATACAAGCTCTCAGGAAATATAGTATTCAACGTGTACAATGTCGGGCTACTCATGCTCATTACATAATTAGGAGGATGGTCATTTTCACTTATGTCCAAAGTTTTGTCAATAGAAGCTTCTTCATGCTATTGACTAGAACTTCTATTAAATTGGAAATGGTAGGGGAAATGCACTTCTGGTACATGACAGAGAGACTGTGACGTTTAATTCCATCTTATCCCTTAAGAAACACATAATTTAGCCTATTTTAAATCAAACCTAAGAATCCAAGCAAAGCAAAACAGAGAACACAAAGCAAAAAAACAGATAAAACCCCACAAAAAGATTCAAACTTCAATTGATTAGGTACCTCAAAAGCCAGCTTATAACGCCTAAACTTCCTTAGCTCCTTAATGACCCTAGAAAGCTCCCATTTCGTAACTTTTTTCCCCTCATTCTCCCACTGATTCAACACACTAACAGAGCCTCGTTCTGGTCCGTCATTCATAGATATTCTTTTGTAAATAGCATTCCATTTCACTATTGGCCGCCTCTCATAGTCAACAGTACCATAGCTATGCACCTGTGGTGTTGATGAACAGCTAATAACTGAATGATGATTCTTTGAACACATCAAGGGTTTAGTAAAACCACCCAAATTGCAAAATCCAGATGGGAAAGAGAGTGAATAAGAGAGGGACGATGAAAAAGAGACATAGTTTTCAGTTTTTTGATGTGGAGGTTTAACGGTGGTGGTGGGTTGTAGAAGCATTTTTGGGGGGAGTTGTAGGGTTTTTGAGCTTCAGGGGTTCTTGATTTTCTGTTAAACTTTGGTTGCGTGTAAAAGATAAGATGTCGACCTTAAGAATTGTAGAACTGTAGTGACAGAGTGACCCCTCTTGGTTTCTTTTATCTCGAATGAGTCCTTTTAAACCTTCATTTGTTTGCATTCCCAGTCCAACGACCAATTATGAAATAGATTAAGGGCGTATTCGATACGAAGAAAAATATTTTTCTTGAAAATAAGTGCGACTCTCTACTTATAATGTGTAAGCCAAAAGTTTGAAGTGAATTTTGAAATCTCTTAACTGCTAAACCAACTTCTACTCTCGTATTTACGGGATTTAAAATTTATATATATACACCAAAAAATATCTTACATATACGATATAATTTTTTATCTATGGAGTTGGGGTGAACACCCTTGCCTCCTTCTAGATCTTCCCCGGGTTGTGGAGTGGAGGGGATGAGGGCTACTGGATTGGGGTGAAGATGAGGTGTGTTGGAGGGTGATGAAAATAAATCAATGTGGAATGTTACTTATGAAACTTGTTTTTCCTACTCCGAATATAAGAAAGATAGAAAATATTTTTTGAAAAATAATTTCCTCCATACCAAACACACCCTAAAGTTATATGTATGTACAGTGTATAGTATTTTTATGGTATAAAATAAGTCATTATTTCTATGAATTTAACTTCTACTCACAATTGTGTTTAATAAGATCTATAATAATATGCAACTTTAGATGAAATTTGATATAACAAATAGAGTATTAATCTTGTTAAACTCGTTAAATTATACAGATAACACAAAAATTCTGAGCTCTATGAATATATAAGTTTATACCATTTTCTATTTCTTGTATAAGTTTATACCATTTTCTATTTCTTGTAGTAATAATTATTTTGGGATATAAATGAGAACAAAGTACTGACCAAGTCCAAGGTAATAGTTCAGCAAAGACGATTATTACACAACAAAATTGTTGACGTTTCGAAAGCATTAGTCCACACGCATTAAGGTTGAGCATTATAGGATAGATATCAAATTATCATATCAAAATTCAAAATTACCAAATCAATCCACACTCATGATAAAATAGATATCAAATTATCATATCAAAAATCAAAATCATCGAAATCGAATCTTTGGACTGTTATTAGATAGAAAGCAAATAATTGGAGTAGTATACAACACACAATTATACCAACAAAAAAAAAGGAGCCTAATATTTTATCTTGAGTAATATTCACCACAGAAAAAAGTTGACAAACACAACATCCTTGACTTTATTGCCACAAATCATCAAGCAATATTGGCCTAATTTTACACGGTATGAACAAGGGGTACAGATTCTTGATCAATTTCCTCATCCAAAGAAAAATCCTCTGCTACACAAAGAACTGCATGAGCCAAAACAATTGGAAAAGTTAGAGCCAAAGTGATTAAAAGATGAATTCCAGCACCAGTGACTATAAGAGCAAGACATGTCCCAATAGCTAGCAGTGGTAGAACAATAGGCCTTGTATCGAACGCGATAAGCCAATGAAACATAACAGAATTGGCCACTGAATTACGAAATAGCCAGTACAAAATTGCCACTTCCTTCATGGCAACTAAACAGACTAATGAAACTTTACATTCAGAAATAAGCAAGATGAAAAGGACTATCCACATGAATTCAGCATAGTATATCCCAAATTTGCGTAAGTCTTCTATGATTCGCGATGTTGCTGATTCAAGGATGGAAGGGATGCTAAATAGACATAAATTTTGGAAGGAAAATGACTTTTTGTATTCAAGATTTGGGATTTGTTTTGATTCATTAGGCTGAGTTTGGGATGAAGGATTTGTAGAAGTAGCTGATGTCCTTTGTACTGCTGCACCACAACTTGCCATATTTTGAAAGATGAATGTGTGAGTTAGTATGAAGAGGCTAAAGGGTATCTATAAATTGATTAAACAAAGTAGAATTGAGTCACTTTCAAAGTCAATATTATGAATTTTCTTCCATTTAATTTTAACTAGACTTTGAAAAATCAAAATAATCATGGACCTAGTCATGTATCATCATGGCTTTTGCCCCCATTGGTACGCACTACTCTTGAACAGTTGTAGGCTCCTTCACCGATTAGGCTAGGTACGTGACTTTAAGGAGTCCACGGGACATTTCCAAGTCTTAACTCTATAAGACTTGATACAAAAAAAAACAAATTGACTAAACCATTAGCTCAATTAGCCTCCTTATAATTATGGTAAATAAAGACCACATAGTTCCAAGTCTTAACTCTATTTAGTAGTATAAAATAAGAGACATTGCCCCTATGAATTTAAGTTCTACGCAAGATTTTGTTATCATCATATTGAGTTGACCTATAATAATATGCAACTCTATATGAAATTTGATATGGTAACTTAACAAATAGAGTATCAATCTGTTAAAACCTATAAAAATTACACAAATAACATAAAAATTCTTTAACTCGAATATATATTAAATATATTTTCTATTTCTTGTAGTTATAATTGAGGTATAAATGAGAACAATGAACAAGAAGAGGACTGACCAAGTCCAAAGTCAAGCAAAGACTAATGCAAATAATTGGCGTACCATACAACATAACAAGTTTTGGCACTTAATAATACAAACAAAAATGCCTAATATTGGCACATAAACTACAACACAACATACCCAGTGAGATCCCATAAGTTGGGTCTGAAGAGGATACAGTATACACAGACATTACCGTTACCTCGTGGAGGTAGAGTTTTGGCACATAAGCTAAACAACAGAAATACAACATCTAAAATGACCCCACACACACCAAAAAGAAAAAACTATCATGTGGCAGCAAATTCTCCCCCATCACAGGAAAAAAATTCACAGACTCACCATCCTTGACTTTATTGCAACAAATCACCAACAAAAGTAGCCTAATTTTACACAGTGTGAACAAGGGGTACATGTTCTTGATTAATTTCCTCATTGAAAGAACAATCCTCTGCTATCCACAGAACAGCATGAGCCAAAATGATAGGCAAAGTTGCAGCCAAAGTGATTGCAAGATGGATTCCAGCATTAGTGAGTATAAGAGCAACACATGTCCAATGGCTAGAAGTGGTAGAACAATAAGCCTAGTATCAAACGCGATAAGCCAACGAAACAGGACAGAATTGGCCACTGCACGCAGCAATATCAAGTACAAAACTGCCACCTCCTTCAAGGCAACTAAATATACTACTGAAACCTTACGTTCAGGAATAAGCGCGATGAAAAGGACTATCCACACAAATTCAGCATAATATGGCCCGAATTTACCTAAGTTTTTAATTATTCGCGTTGCTGCTGATTCAGGGGTGGCAGGGATGCTAAATGGACATGTAACTTGGAAGGAAAATGGTTGATTTTTTTCGAAATTCGGTAATTGTTTCGATTCATCAGGCTGAGTTTGGGATGGAGGATTCGGAGAAGTAGCTGATGGCCTTTGCACTACTGCACCATAACTTGCCATATTATTTTTCTTGTGAGATGAATGTGTGTGTGACTCTAAGAATGAAAGACTAAAGGGTATTTATTGATTGATTACATAAAGTAGAAATGCATCACTGTGAAAGTCAATACTATGAATTTTCTTCCCTATTAATTTTAAGCATAGACTTTGAAAAATCAAACTAATTATGGACCTGGTCATGTATGAATTTTGCCCCCCTTAGTACGCACTATGTAGCTTTGGATACACATGAAGGTTTACCTTAGCAATGACTATTTCTCCCCAAAAATACTTTTAACATGGTGTGATATTGCAAGCGCAGATTTTTGTTCATACCTTTCTACTGTGAAACTAACCTCGCCAAATTGTTGTTTATAATAATTAATGAATCATAATATGATTTGAAACTTATATAGGCCAAAGTTAATTTTATATTCTCGGGGGCTGCTGTAATCAAATGTTTATTTTATTACAGATGTTCTACCCACGTTTATCTATTAAAATAGCAACAAAAGTTTTTTAATTTTATATTTATATCTTCAATTGTACGTCTGTCATGAGAAATATATACTGTTAGAAGCAGAACAATGTTGGAGGTTTACGCAGCGCAGGTTCATGTGGGGTGGGTTAAAAACAAAAAATTATGCTAGGTGGGGCAGGGGCAAAGTCTTTGTGGGTTTACGAGTGTTTACCCCACCCCCGCCCTGCCCATTTGTCATCCCTATAGACGCATTTTTCAGAGGCCTTACATAATATCCCTACACAGTTTCTGTCAAATCTACCAGACAAAGTTTGTTTAAGTATTTGATGGAGAACAAGATATTCTCACTTTTGGCAAACTTAGAGGATCAAAACTGTTCAGGAATACATTTAAGGAACTGTTTAGAGCCTACCACCAAATATAAGGGACCATGCTATTATTTTCTCGAAATTAAGAGGACAGATGTGGAAATAATACCCAGAAAAGTGACAAATAATGGCACGTGACAAGAATATTCAAATCATTTGAAAGCTGCCCAATGAAAGTAAGTCCATATAATTAGTGTGTCATTTCCAAAGATGCAGAAACTATCAAAATTTTCCACAGCATCCTGATAAAGACAAGTTTTTTCCCCCTCAAATAGAAATATTGAAGCTTTGAACATGTCAACTTTTTTGTTCTGACCATCTAGAACAAGAAACACATATCTTTCTGCAAAGAGGATCTAATGTCAGCAACCAGCTAAACACTCAAGCTTCACTACATCACGAGCACGGCTGATGTCTGAGCCTAATATTTTTCCCTTCAGTTCTCGCGAAAAAGGGAGTTGCGATAAGACTAGAAAGTTCGCCTTGTTACAATATTCCGCGCTAGTAATGGATGCTTTCAGGGAATAACCGAGCATCCTGGCCAACCTCTATTCATGATATCCGTGTTTCTTATGTTTCCATGAATAAACACCTTTGGTTCCTTAGCCTGCATGATGCAAACAGGTTATAAAAGCAACAAGGATGCCAGCATTTTGAAGCTATCATTTGGCATTGTCTGAAAAATCCTTACAAATGATATTGGAGGAAATCCAATTCGTATGCGAACCCGAGAAAAACCATCCACACTCATCAGACATTTGAATCCTTCGATGTAGGAATTCTCACTGTAACAGTAGAATTGGGAGAGATTAGGCTGATGTACTATAAATACGATCCGCATTAACTAAAACACTATCAGCAAAGAATGAGGATTGGTTGTGCACAAAATCTAAGCCTTTAAATACTGAAGAGGAACTAAAGAAATGTGACGGCACATGGTATGATTCAGAGACTGGCCTATAGTAAAAATCATACTTTTTACATCGAAAAATTTCTCACTAGAATATAAAAGGCTCAAAACAAGCCTTTGAATACCTAGTCACGTCATTTGCAAACCCATCGACTGGTTCAAACATGTTCTAGTTTATACTTCTTCAGGAAGAACAATTTCTAGCATACGTCCTTGCAAGGAATAGAACATTGCAGTTTAATCTTAAGGTCCTTTATTCCAAGCACAAGTAATATCCTACACTACCCTTTTGTACAAGATGCAATATCAGGTGATACACTTGTGTGATAGTATTCCATTTAAAATGTGTTATCTTCATGATCATTTACATCTTCAGCACCAACCTTGGTCAGGGCTAATATTTAGATCAATCCCTATTTGAACACCCAGAAGATGGCTCTAGTGACTAGTGAGCACATTCTCACGTGTATTTTTATCTCAAAATAAGATTTTTGCCCTCAGAAAATTGTTAAAGTAACGATTTGTTTGTGCCAAGTACAAGCAACATGGATCCGTGTATGCTGAAACCTCCAAACTAGAAATGGTCAAGACAACCGCAGTCGCTAACAAATGTATATGACTGGGAAGCAAGAAATTCATCTACCAATGAACCAAAGAAGTAAAACATAATAATTCATAATTGATACTCGACTGTCAGACCTAGTATTCATCAGTAATACCAACTATGTTGGTTTAATATCAATAACACAAATATGCAGGAAGTCGATGACTAGACTTCACTTCCATTTCAGATGCAAATTTGTTTGTTTGATAGTTTCTTTAGCAGTCTTGTCCTAGGAAGAAAGGAAAAACACAATATCACACAAGCAATGCCTCTCCATTACAGATATCAACATTTCTCGAGGAACCAAAAAAGAAAGCATCATCCTCAACAAGGAGATAATCAACTATTTACATAATCATATAAAAAGTTCGAAAAAACTCATAATATCAGATTTTGTAAATCAGTGTCATCCTCTATCGAGAGTTAATATTTTTGTAATCACCATATTTTCTAGAGACTTAGACCACTAAATATAGCACTTCTTTTACAAGGTAAGTGCAGTGATCCATATGGGTCATGCTAAGGTCAGTATTATTCATTTAGAACTAATCCCTGATACCGAAGTTCTGAAAATCATGCATGCGTTCATGAGGATCCTAGAATAGGGGAGCAGGGGCGATGGTGGCGCTGATATCAAAATTGTCTTCCATCACATGACACTGAAATTTACCAAGCATACTTGGAGATAACTTCAGTGCTGCAATCAAAGAAAGATGAAATGGGCTATATAAGCACCTGGGGAATCTGAAGACCAAAGCAGTTAATCTACTCAATCATCAGACAAGCCTTACTTTCCCAACAATCAACTCATGACTCTTTCACACTCTCTAAGTTTGTCCTTATTTAGACTCGGAATGCCAATTCTACCTGATTACATTTAGGCTGTTAACAGAGAACAAGATGGTTGTAATTTAAATTACAGAAGACATTTGAATGATCAGGAGTTGAGAAACAAACTGAATTTTTGGGTACACAGGCATCTTTTCGAGAACTGGCACAGGGAAGAGCTGGAGATCATGAAAAGCAATTACACACAAGGAGGCAGGAGACCGAGAAGCTTTGCTTCTAGAATGCTGACTACATGAAACCACGAGATATGGGATTCTCTCTTACTGTTAAGACGTCTGAAACTCTTCTTTCTTTACTCCTTTCCGCATCGGGGCTGATAAGACGAATGCATGAGGATCAAGATGGGGATGTCGTCCCCTCCTCAGTACGAAGAAGGGAGGGTACTTGTAAGGATTGCGTGAATCCAGACAGTCTCACATTGAAAGCCCGTGTAAAGGAATCATTACAGTAAACTCTTGTTATCTACAGTTGTGTTATGGTAGACAGCAAGATAATTTTATTCCATGGAAACAAACATCGAAAACAAATGTTCCTTATAAGGTGGTTTCTTTCACTTGGTTTGTTGCTAGAAATGCTTGTTTAACACAGGAAAATCTTTAAAGAAGAGGTTTTCAGCTGTGCTTTAAATGTTGTCTTTGTAGATACAACTAGGGGTGGGCATGGTATGGTGTATACCGAATTACCATACCATATCGAAATTTTTGATACCGTGATTTTGGTATTATGGTATATGGTATACATTTTAATTTTTTTGGTATTCGGTACGGTATTTGGTATTTAGAAACAACATATTGAAATACCGAATACCATACCGAAGTATATAGTTACATAAATAGCATATATATACTATTAATATACTAACGAATATGCAACCCAGTATTAGTATAAACTAAATGTTTAGAAGTTAAAACTGACTATTCACTATTTAAAAAAAAAAGTTAAAACTTTGACTATTCTATTTTGGTTGAAATGTACTCCCTCCATTCCATATTGATTGAATTCTTGAGGCATTTTCCATGTTTCAAATTAACTTAATTGTTCAATCTTCAAGACTATTTTTAAAATATTCTTCCAATTTTTATTTTTTTTGATAAAGGTAACAAAAATATTCTTCCAATTTTACCCTTCATTTGAATTTTCAATGTGATGACTTCAATAAATTTGACAATAATTAATAAGGGTAAAAATGGAAAACTATGTTCAATTTATGTCTTAATCTACTTTTCTTAAAGGGTGTGAAACACCTCAAAAATTCAATTAATATGGAATGGAGGGAGTAATTGATTGAGAAAAGGAGTTGTTTGTACTTTCTTTTGATTATATATTTCTACATGTGTAATGTGTTAGTATGATACAATTGAGACCCTTTTTTGAATTGTCGAAGTCATAATACTTTATTATATGAGTATATATTAGTCGAAGTTTAACAAACCATACCAAATTAAATTGGCATGGTAATGATATAATAGTTTAAAAAATCGAAAATCGAAATTACGGTACCAAAATTTCAAATACCATACCATATCCCACCATACCATGCCCACCCCTAGATAGTAGATACAACCCAGAGAGTGTTAATCACCTATTTCTACACTGTCACATCACACTCGCACATTAGGTACGGTTCAACTTCCGCACTTGTTTCTCAATATGATGGGACTTAAAACAGATTATGCCAAGGCAGCCATGTGAATTATTGAAGTGCTGACCCATCAGAGGAAGGAATTTCAAGCAAAAGACATGGTACAGACTATTCTGGCATGCACATGATGGACAGTTGAAGGAGAAAATTCTAGAAGCTTTGAGGACCAAGAGAGCCCATTGAGAAGATCAAAATGAACTGTTTACTTTTGTTTTATTTTTGGGGTGAACAGAGTTATGTTAATGATGTTGAATCAGTGACAAAACATTATAGAATCATTTTTAAGATTAGAAAGGGATGCACCTTTGATAATTTGTAAGTACTTTTGACAGCACCAAAAAAGCTTAGAAGCTAACATGCATCAGTCAACAAATCAATTACAACTGTCCATAATGCCTTGGCCTCAGAAAACTGAAGATGTCACTTCTGTTCCCCAAAACAAGGACCTTGCAATCTATTGGAATAATTAGCCAGAAAAATAAGATAAAAAAATTGCAAAGAACTCACTTGAGAAGATATGTGAAATTTCTCATCTGCAAGTCTTCCAGAGAAATATTTTCTTCTTTAGAGTACCTAAACCGAAAGCAGCAATCTTGGAAGTTAAAATGCAGCTGGAAGAAAAACAGAGAAACAAAAACATGAAGCTGGAAAGATGTTCAACAGTTGAAAGGTTAAAAGTATAGGCACAAATCAATCATATGCATCTCTAAGAAGTAATTTGTACTAGATAACCACAATATTGCAAAATTATTTTACGCTATCCATTTCAAATGAAAATACTAGATGATGTGCAGATCCTAACACTCTGAAGAAGGAATATAGATGCCTTTCTTGCATGCTAAGGAAGGCAATTTAGCCAAGTACATAAATTGTGTAGAGATCAATACACTATGATGCATTAGAAGGGAAAAAAAGTCACAGGTGTGATGGAACAAGACAAAGATGACATGAAAAATACTGAAAACAAAACAAAAATACAACAAGGTGTAATTTTTTTAACCAATTATAGGTCAAGCTATTGATTCATAAAAGAGGTTTGAAAGATATATCAACACATAAAACGAACCAGTACAGTTATGTCAAGACTAGTTTATTTGGTGGAAAGCAAAATATGAAGAAGATAAACATTGATAAGAGGGGAATGTAACCCAAAAGAAAGCAGAATAACCGAAAGATCAAAACAAAAAAAGGAAAGGAAAATTAAGAGGATATAACAAGCATTCCCACTTTTTCTTGCTTTCATCAATCATCCTTTCTCTTCCACATTAAATTATCTTTATTTTTAAGTTACGATGGGAAAATCTCTAGAACATGTAATCAAACTTCAACCTGAAAGATCTTAATGAGCAAAATGGGACTGGCAAGAAAGAAAGAAAGAAAGAACAAAAAGAAAAAGGGAAAAAAAGCAAATCCTATCAAAAGATAACTGCAGACAAAACAAGGCTCTTGCACGGAACCTTATTGGCTATAAGGCACCAGCCAGGTCGCTCCTGACTTGTCGTTCCATCCCAATTGGCCTATGGCTAGGTAGGCTACAAGAGTTGAGCCATCTTAAAGAGGGTGGAATCACAATAGAGTCCTTAATCTTTACGGGTCCCATGTTAATATCAATATATTACCTTTCTTCTAAGGTTTATCTAAGCCTACAGTTGAAAAAATGAGCACTTGTACATGGGCCTATGGTTCCTCAAGAACAAATATTAGGCTATATCCCCACATAGGTTTATTGCTTTTGTCACATCTTCCTATTAACTACCAAGTTACCAAATAGTCAAATACTATTACTTCTCCCAAGTCTTAAGCAAGCAAAAAAGCTATATTCTCTCAATTATGATATCATATAAAGAGAAAATCATCCAATTCTTAAATTCTATAATTGTTACTTCTTTGGTAAAAGTGTTCCAAATTTTTCCTTTCTTCAGTTCTAATAAAAAAGGATAAGGTTTATGGTTTAGGCTAGGGAGGCATTTTAAAAGATTGGACTTATCAGAAAGCCCAGGTACTCAAAGGACCTTCAGAACAGCTATCTAGATTCTAGAGTAGCTTCGTAGTAAGAAATTTGACTTGTTCGTTTTTTTTTAAGGTTTCTACAGATAAAATTATGCATTAGAACACATTTTTAAGGATATCAGATCTCCAACTGAGATTTCATCACAGAAAAGACCACAGAGTGAATTGCATCAAAATGGTGATCAAGCATACCTCCATGGATAATTATATTCACAAAATCGGGATATCCCATTCATCGCTGAAAAAGTGTCAATATGAACCCTGAGTTCATCTGAATTCTTTGTCACACCACCTAGGCAAAGATCAAGTCAACATTGTAAGCAGGGAAATATAAAAGGTTAGGACAAAAAAAACATAAAGTAAAAGAGTGAGGGAACTAATAACTAATAGAGGTACACAAATAAAAAAGAAAAGCAGGGAAACCTTTAAAAGATGTAGAAAACCACAGCATAAAATCCACTTAGATACAACACAATATACACATTGTTTGTTGCTGTGAGAAATATAGGAAAAGAATATTATTGAATTGTTGTTGTTTACATTATTACATTGAGACCCTATTTATAGACCCTAGAATACAATCCTTTACCAAGTAGGATACTATTTAGTATTCCTATTTCTATTTCTATTTCTATTCCTATTCCTGTTCTAATAGGATTGTATAAACTTATTCTTATTCTAATAGGATTGTATAAATCTATTCCTATTCTAACACTCCCCCTCAAGCTAGTGCATACAATTCATGTACCTAGCTTGTTACAAATGTAATTAACACGAGGACCGATGAGGGACTTGGTGAGATATCTGCAAGTTGATCACTCGACTTCACAAATTTGACAATCAATCTCAATGGGCTTGGTCTTCTCATGAAATACTGAATTTGATACATAATGCCGATAAAACAGAGAGTGATAAAATTACAGTGTTGAACTTCCCAAACCAAGCTTGCAAAAACTATTTCAGACCATAGAGTGACTTACATAATCAACATACAAGGCTACTAAACTCCCCCTGAGCAACAAATTAGGTGGTTGCTCCATATAGACTTCTTCACAATGCAACGGTCGCCGGAAGTGCTCAAAATCTAGTATAAAGTGTATGGATCATGTTGGAATCAATAGACGTCTCAATATTTAACAAGAAAGTCACCGAAAAATTGGCTGGAACATGCTCATATGCCGGAGTATTGATTTGATGGATAAAAGTGGTCACAATCTAAGAAATAAAATTATATGGGTAGGGTCGGAATGATGTCACGACCCAACTAGAAAATAGAAATTATATAGGATAGTTCGAATTGATGGAACGACCCCATTGAAAAAGAGAAATAATATGGGTAGGGTCGGAATGATGGCACGACCCTACTGAAAAAGAAAAATAATATGGGTAGGATTGGAATGATGGCACAACCCTACGCAAATCTGATTTGAGGAGTCACCGGAAAGACGAATGGGAATACGCAAATCAAATCTGAGTAGTTACTGAAAAGACACACGGTGCTATGCAACTCAGATATGAGAAAGTAGTTCGGAAAAAAACCCACGGTACTACGCAAATTAAATATGAAAAGTAGTCCAGAGAGATGCACGGTGCTACGCAAATAAAATATGCAAAAAAAAGGTAGTCACCAGAAGAATGGCATGGTGCTACACAAATTAAATATGAAAAAGTAGTCACCGAAATGATGGCACGGTGCTACACAAATTAAATATGAAAAAGTAGTCACCGGAATGATGGCACGGTGCTACACAAATTAAATATGAAAAAGTAGTCACCGAAATGATGGCACGGTGCTACACAAATTAAATATAAGAAAGTAGTCACCGGAATGATGGCACAGTGCTACACAAATTAGATATGAGAAAATAGTCACCAGAAAGATACATGGTGACCCAACTTTTGCTAACATAATCATTGGCCGGACGGGCGGCATATATGAGTAATAGCCGCCCGCCGACAGTGGAAGCTCTTTGATTGTTTACCAAGATCGTAGAGGCTCTGATACCATGTGAGAAATATAGGAAAAGAATATTATTGAATTGTTGTTGTTTACATTATTACATTGAGACCCTATTTATAGACCCTAGAATACAATCCTTTACCAAGTAGGATACTATTTAGTATTCCTATTTCTATTTCTATTTCTATTCCTATTCCTGTTCTAATAGGATTGTATAAACTTATTCTTATTCTAATAGGATTGTATAAATCTATTCCTATTCTAACAGTTGCTCCAACTAGTTTTTTATTTTGTCCATTTTACCTTGCACCCTACTGCTTTATACCTAAGAGATTGCTCCCGCAAGAACAGAAAATTATGGCATTAAGTCCTTCTCCTAGTCCATGAGTGACTCATAAATTGCAACATTTTTAACTAGCTTGCCTAGATACTACATCAAAGGAAATGTAGCTAAGGAAGTAAAGTTAACACGTGTGAATTTCCAAATACTGAGCATATTGCAGGAACCCAGGAAATTACAAATATAACCCTACATTATCAGAACTCCAAATAACTGCTTTTGTAACTACAAAATTACTATAAAATCAGCATCTTGAGAATAATTATGCAAGACTGTCATCACTTGTTTCTATGGTAGCTGAACCATATTTTCTATGTTGTAGGGGAAGAAACCATAAAAACAGTGTTTTCCAGATAGAGAGCACCAAATTTCTTCCATCTTCAAGAACATCATGAATTTATATAATCATGTGAAGCCCTAGAAAATAGATTGGCGGAAAGAGTATTTCAAACCATATCTGCCAGTAAATGGGCCCACATTTCCTCGAGCAAGTTATACAATGATAGATCAATGCAACTAAACCAACTTGCAAATTAGTTTTAGATCACACCTTTAAGATAACCTTAATTAAGAGCAAGGTTTCACAATGTTATGAATGGACAACATAAAGGTATTCATTCCTTGAGCAACCACATTCAAGATAATGGGTATTCCATGTATAAGCCCAAAAGACCTATGATGACTCTCGAAAGAGATATCCGAAAAGAAAGACAGGCTAACTGGCACATTGACAGGATATTCAGTTTGTCATGACGATAGTGGATAAACCAGATACTAATCTTACTAGTCCCCAACAATAAAGTAGCGCCCATTTCTGCAACTAGCCGGCTTCCACTCTTTTCTTTTGTTTTTTATAATAACATGAATGTTGTTAAACAATGAAACAAAAAGGGAAAAAACCACAGCATTTGTTTGTGATTTTAAGTGGTTTGAACTTAATAATTATAAGAGGATCAAGCAGTCCATGGCTCATTCAAACTCAAAAGAAAGTGAGTAAAAAACATCGAGATAGGGCTTACCTATCCTATGCAGAGATTTTAGAGCATAACCACTAGGATAGTTTTCATACGATGCCATGAAAAAAACTGTTGTGCAGGCTAAACTAAAAAGTAAGAAATGTGTCAGAATACACCCAAATAGTTCAGTTTGCAGTTTGAACAAGTTGGTTCCCATCATACCTGCCAAGTATTAATCCCAACATAGCAATATACAGAAACTTCCAGAAACTCTTTTTCCTGTTATTATACCTGCATAATGTTGAGATAATGCAACAGAATATGAATTTCTAGATAAATAATGATATAATCTTATGCAATAATGGTGAGATTCGAAAAACTCGAACAACTTTTCATTGGTATTAGTCAACTTGGGGGCGGGGGACATGCAAACTATCACATTGACTGGGGCTGCATCCAGTGCTACAACAGCATACTAAAAGTCAGGCAAGGGCTAGAGCACCATGAGAAAGAATTCCCTAGATATTGTCAACAATACATGTTAGCTTAAAGGTAGCATATACAGGTTGACAGATTGCTTAAGCGAATCAGATCTTCACTTTATAGTGCAATTAGGAAATGCTAGATATCAGAGGAAGTTCAAAGTTCTGAAGGCCTAACAACCCTTCAATGTTTTACATTCCAGTCATTTATGGTTCAAATAAAATCCACATACAACCAGCCACATACTACTCTACATAAAGCAACTGCACATGAATATACTCATATGAAGATGTCTTTTAGAACTCAGAAATATTGAAGTGGGATCTTGCTAAGCATAAGAAGCGACGTACAGTCTGCTAGCTGCAACAGCTGCTGCAAAGTTGAAGACAGGAATGGAACTAATTATGAAGCGGAGCTCCTGCAGCATTGACGATTTTTGAAATGAACAAATTACCACAACATTATCATCAACTATACAACTCAATCACAGAGCAACTGAGCAATACCTTGTGCGGAAGCTTTGAGTACAGTAGAACAAAAGAGAGAACTGGAAGGATGTAGAAGAAAACCCTTCTGTCCAGTAGAACCCCAAGCTGGAAAACAAACTGATATCAATTTTGAGAAAAGAATTAAAGGGACCAAGTGTAATCGATACCTCAGTCCTAAAATAGTGAAGTAGCATTACTACTTCCAAAATATTACTTCATACTACCAAGAAATGCAACAGCATGATGGTTACCGGCCGGCCTGTTCTGTGAGATGAAGCAAGATTTTCATTTTTCTGTATTGGAGGCTATAAATTTCTGACGATGAATGAAAAAGGTTCTCTTCAGACTGCTTTAGCCTTTTACTCAAGACTTCACAGGAACTAACTATTAAACTATGACTGCCTCAAAATAGCTTCATTCTTGCAATTTCACGGGGCTAATTTTTTCATTGCATTCTTAAGGGGATTTAGGCCTTAATTGCTTCTCTCAGACACCTCTGATTATCTCTCTTTTATGTTTTATAGACTGGTGCATGCTGACAAATCCCACTTTTTTTATAAATGGCATGCAAGTAGAAATCATTGCAGGAAAAACATACATACCAAAAAAAGCGGGTATGCAGCAAGCAGTGAACGGGGAAGCGCTGACGTGAAGTACCAGTGGAAAGGATGTGTCTGTTCACATATATTAAGGAACATCAAAAGATATGGAAACCATTGTTCACGAAACCTCTAGTTAAAGGAGTTCTACTTCAAGTTAACATCAACGGTAGAATCTATCAAATAAAAAAGGCTGCCTGTGAGTACAAGTTTTCAGGAATAAAATCAAATCCAATCAGAAAAAAATTAAAAAGAAAATCAAGGAATTCACAGGAAATGCTCACAGCCCCCTATAGCTAGAATGTGTGTGTGTGTAATTTTGAGAAAGGTAACATTAGTCAGAACGTGTGACACTTTATATTACGTCCTCCTTTATAGTGGGAAGCAAAAAAAGCACATACTTGTGCCGACAGATAATATGGCCGTGACTTATCCATGTAGAACACCTTGGAAGTACATAGAAACTAAATGTGTAATTACATTTACGAATGCAGGATACACCCCATTCAGAACTCCGGTTCAAAACAGAGTTGAACCAGAAAACTTCTAGTTCAGGCCACAACAACCTTTTCCAAATGACTGAATCAACAAGAACGGTAAGGCCTGTAATATGGTCAAAAACATTGTTTCAAACTTTCAGATAATATGGCATCCTTGTTTCAAAGAAACTTTTTTTACTGATAAAGTATATAACAGATAAACTTGGTAACTACAGAAGTTACTTCACCAAATAACTGAGTTTCCTTAAATATTGTAGCTAACAAACCTATGGAGAGGAAAGCAGCAGCTAAGCAGAATGTCAGTGCTTTCCAGAAAGAAACTGATTTAGTCTGCAGGTAAGAAATAATATCCATATTAGACAGAATATGCTGAGTAAGCGTTAACTTCATAAGGTTATCAAAAACTATATAACAATGGCACCAAACCAATTCCATAATTATTTTTATTCTGAAAGAATTTATCCACTTTCTTATGCAGTACACAGCACTGGATACTTTTATTTTGTATGATCGTCCAAACTTCATTTGAGTTCATTACTTTACCCATTCAAACAATTTGACAAAGCAGTCAGACTCTTACATGAATGCATCAAGTGCATGAAACTCTATGATAAGAAATAAACATCATGTTTTCGGTATAAGTGGACAAATCAGTTTTTATACAAATTCTCGAAGTGGGAGAGAAAAAAGACAAATAAAAGCAGGCACCAATATCCAAGAGTAGGAAAAGTAATGACTCTTAAGTAGACAGCAGTACTCAAAAACTAAGTTCAGGTGATGAACCAACTCCTCCACCCAATCTACCATTTCTGCATTTCTGCAGTTCTCCAAAGGGAAAAGAAAAACAGAACTTAAAAGAGCACGTAATGACTCTTAAGTAGACAGCTGTCCAGCTTACCAGCAAGAGCTCCAAACCCAAAGGAGCAATGAGCAGAAGTATGTCGCATCTGAAGACTAATGTCGCAAACACCTGAACGATAAAACAGACAGTTAATGTGATAACTGCAAATAGTCATTCTTTGTAGCTGATTTCTTATTTGCAATAGTTATTTTAATTATCTGCCTGATAACACAGAGTGATTACTTATTTTAAATCATTGCAACCGTTTGAACTAGTCAAACTAGGAATAGATATTTTACTTAGAATTCCTAGATCTCTGTGGGATTGGCCCCAGATCATAAGTCAGAATATATTTGCAGTGACCACTGATTCTCTTTAGGGTGTAGTCAGGCCTGATGAATTGTCTAATTATTCGGGCCTTCCTCGTTCTTGGCTGATTCCTCAGATTTGGCTAGCAGGAGCCTCAGATATTTTTATAGGTAAAGCAGAAAATTGTAGTAGACAAAACACTCAGGAGGGCTGCTACGTTTACACGAGACTAGAAAGGGGATACAAAGATCAAGAAAGACAATGGAATGCACTTACTGTTTACATAATAACCCACAAAAATTTTACGCCCCATTAAATGTGCCTATTACATCTTCCAATTTTATGATTGTAAGTTCTTCAATTTTCCGATCATTCAAAAGGAAGCGCATTAGCAGATAGATAGCCTTTTTCATTGGTTCCAGCAACTTGTTTCCCCACCAAATGCCACAAAGTTCACCACTTAGAGAATGTGAAAGGAGCCTTTACTTCATTGTTTTTCCTAGTTCCCTTTTCCTGCTTCTGTGTTCCCAAAATATATAGTTGATAATGAATAAGTTACTTAACATACAATGATAGTACAAAGTACTGAAGGTGGCACATTTATATCACTTGCAGCTCTAAGGTTAGAATGCAATAAAAAATATGATGCATAAGAAGCTAATAGAAAGCAGAAAACAGGCAGAGAAACTGAGAGTCTAGTTTATTTACATGGTGGGTTCGTGCACTTGTGTGACACCTTCTGATGCTATTAGTACTATGTATCTAATCATCAAAAACTTGAATCTCATATATTACATAAGAAGAAGAAAATATTCTGAAACATTATTTGCTCCAATCATGAACTTGAAGATCTGCAAACATATGGCTGCTAGCAAAGTAAATCATTGTTAAATATGTTATCTAAAACAATGTGCCATGGTTAAATGGTGAGGGAAACTTACCATGCAATTTAATGCAGCATACAGACGTCCCTTAAACCAAAAGCCATATGCCAAATTTACTAGAAAAGAAAACCAATGTGTGAAATCAATGCTCAAACTTTCCCTTTTAAGAGATGAAATAACTGACAAAAAAATTGCATAGAGCGTGAAATGACTAAGTAGTAGATATTAAGGTTATCGAATTCATTAATTATTAGCCCCTTGCATTGCACAGCTAAACTGCTAGTCTGCTAGCTTTAATCAGAAGAAAAGATGATACAGCAATAGCTTTAATTCATATGTAGAATGAACATGCCGAGTGCAAGAAAGAGCATAATGCAACCTTAAAATTGGATATGATTATAAATCCTATAAGCCAACTTACAGCAAATTAATTAGCTCCTGGGAAACACAATATCCTTTTTATTTGGCAAGTAGCAGTCTCCTAATGTAGCTACAGGTTTAATTGTCTTCACACTATATTTTGCCATCAGAATGGACTTCTAACTTGAAATCTCAGGTATCTGGAAAAACATCGTCTCAATAATATTAAGAGAGAAACTCCCTCAAAAAAGAATTTTTCTAATTCTTTTTCTTTATTTTTTAAGTTTGTATGAGATTACGTTCTTATTATGTCTATGATGATGATTATGTGGTTGCATGTTTCCAGAATGTACTTCTTAAGAGAGTCGGTTTTTCTTTATTTGCAGGATTTCACAACTGGTAGGCAAAATCATTGGTTGGACGTCTCTTGAACCCCTAGGTCAAATACAACACTGGATCACATTTTTCGGGGTTAACATGTTCTTCTTCCCTATTCATTTCTATAGGCTTTAGTTTCAGGTGTGCCATGTTGCACTCTAGAGTAACTAGAAGCTTACAGTGGATGGATGCCCTTACCAGCTCAGGCTCTTATGTATCTGTAGTTGGGGTTTGTCGTCATCTCCACGCAACATTTCCATCTGAATGGCCAACTAACTTCAACTCCAGGCGTGTAGATATACATTGTGTGAATAATAATAGTAGGGGGAAATCTACTATTACCAAGAAAATTTCTTATTCTTTTTTTAAGGTTTTGTGAGATATGGTGTTGTTACATTCATAGTTTGATGAACATGAATGTTCTTTACTTCAAGCAAGACTAGTGCATTAGCAATGGATCTTCAGGCCCAGCTTGAGACCATCATCAGCCTACAAGTGTTGGTGGGTGAATGGCAGGACACTCATCAAGGGAGAGATCATCAGACCTTTCAAGTAAAACCTAGTATTATGTGCATTTTAAGTTGTTTGGGAAAACCAAAATCATTCATGCAGAGAGGCAAAGCATATTAATGGACTTACTTTGCACAATTGTCAAGAGTAGAGTTAATTTGTGGATTCTTTCATACTAATAGAGGAACACATGGGGCCTTACTGAGCGAAGGGGAATGGCAAGAAGTGTAGAAATAGGTCCCGTCTAACTTTTTGGATTATCTAGTAGCATCAGTATACTAGTTTCTTTTACAGGAAGTATGAGCATTATTTTGGGACTGATCAAAAGGAAAGACAACATTCAATTTGGATGGAGAGATAGTTAGCACTTTAGTAGCATAAAAAAGAAGTACGAATGTACAGATACTGACCTAAAGCAAATGCCAATATATTTGGAAGAGGACGAGTGCAATAGAACAGCAAATGAAACTGAGATGCTGTCAGGATAACAAAGAATGCTTCAACTTGAGATCCAAACTTCTTCTTGATCTGCACAGTCAATTTAACATCACATCATTAGCTATCACCTTTTACTCCTCCAACTCAACAGAAAAGGGCAATGTTTGGAGTATGAGAGTCAACTCATTCAATTTTCTCAATTGAAACACGACTCCCTTGTTCAGAACTTTTTTTTATATGTTTTGAAACTGCATAACAAGCACTTTGTCACAAGATTTAACAATTCGAAATCTATTTAATATATTAGAAAAAAATTGTTTGACTCCTCAAACAGGGCTAGTGTCATATATAATGGAACATAGGGAATAATAGCTTAAATTAAATTCAACAATGCAGGAAAAAAGAAATATCAGCAATATCATTAAATTTGATCAGATGGATGATGTCTTTTGCAACTGATGTTAATACTTTTGTGAACTTCATAGATTCCCGAAAGTTTTAAAGGGAAGCTAAGATCCCTTTTGCTGTAGATATTTTTGCACATTTTTTGTTTAATGAAATATCATACTTATCACAAAAAATGCAAGATTTGTTGGAGGCCAAAAACACTTCAGTCCAACACCCAATAGAAAGGCAGATGTATTAAAGTATAGTCACTATATTCTTTGTATACAATCAGATACCTGAATGCGAAAAAATCGTAATGTAGACAGCATGATACCACCCAATACCAGTCGTACTACACAAACAAACTCGAAAGTCAGTCACTAAAAATATTGCACAGCAGATAAAGGAAGAACATGTGAGCAGTTTTTAGGCTCACTATAAAACAGAAGTTAATGATCAAATAAAAGATATCACTCTTTTGTTTTACAAAGAAAGATCTCACTCAAAACATTAACACCATTCAATGTTCATATGAGAGTGTCTCTTTCTAGCTTAAACGTGATTAAATTGACTTTCACCTGAAAACAAATCATACTAATTATTTACTGTGTTTAATTGTTAAAATGGTGCCAAGAAAGAAAAGGCAGGGGTAAGATTACTTTACACTAGACAAGACTTGAACAAGCCATGCCCCATTTTAAAACTTCTAACAATGTAACATGTTCATGTCATATGTCCAGGGTGTATGAACTGCGGGAAAAATGAATATATGTGTTCCTATTGTTACCAGCTTATAACTTGGGTAATTGTTGTTGTTTCAGCATAAAAGCATCAGTAATCTCATTTCTCAGGTTATGAGCTCTCTCTCTCAACCAAAGTCATTCATTGAACTTGACATTTTCCACTTGTATCAAACTGACTGCAGTCTGCACAGGAACCATTGAATCTAACAATAAGTACATAATAACTTTAGTATCAGCTTGATCTTTCAGAATAACTATAGTTCACTTATTCACTGTTCCGTCTTATATTACCAACCTCCTTTCGCAAATCAACACACTTGCTAACTTGTATTCATAACCTGTTAACCACTATTTTTTTTTATTTTTTTTTGATAACCTTTAGACCAATCACAGCCTGCTAAACTCGGTGGATAATGGGCCCGCCCCTCTACCCTTCTCCACTTAAATACCGGGCCTCGCTTTGCATGGTGTGGGGCTTGAACCTGCGACCTAAGCCACAAATCCTCCACCTTTACCCACTCGAGCTAGGCCTTGGGGGCAAACCTGTTAACCACTATAGGTAAGCTACATTGTGTAAAAGGTGAAATCTCAGAAGATTGTATCCATATTTCTACATTTGGCATCCAAATCAAGACAATGTGATTATGAGTTGGAGTTAACTAATATGCTATTAAAAAATTGTAGAAAGTAATGCAAAATTTCTTCTATTTTTTTTTACGTATGCCAAGTTAAAACAAATATGTTTTTTGACTTCTAAGTGATGAAAAGCAATTCGGGCAACAGTAGCGGGTCAAAAGTAACCACGTAAAAATCATGCTTGAACGAGTAAAACCTCATCATGGTTACCAGACACCTTCATATCAGAGTTAAGCTTCAGATATAATCTTGAACCACACAAATGTTCCCTCACAATACCATACCTGCATAGAGACTATACAGTTTTGGCACGTGTAGCAAATTCATCAGGAGAACAACTGGAGATGCCAAAATAGATACAAGAAGAGCCCCTGCAATGTAGATGGAATTTGCAGAAAAAACAAAAGTTAAATGTTGGAGATAATGTGCACAAATAGAACTGAAGACTGGACTATGCTTTAACTGACACTTTCTTTTTTTTTAAAAAAGCACATCGCCCACACCCAAGAAGGTCAATGCAGCTATGTTCCATGATTATTGGCATGTCAAAATAGTGAGCAAAAAGGACCACTCAAAATTTTCCGCCTTCTCCCAGAAGAGTAACCCTTTCATATCAGTTTCTTGTCTCCACAAATTCCACCCAAAACCTCTTCTCCAGACAGGTCAACTGTGGATTTTTCCTTGTCCCTTCCCCCCTCCCTTTTGGTGACTCAAACAACATTCATTCTCATTTTTGGAGGTGGACGGGATCAGCAACAAAAGCAACCCTCTCTTAATTCAATTGTATATCACTATTTCCTCTGCAAAATAGGCATTGAACAGAAATAGAGATTTTCTTGCTGCAGCACTAATTGGCAATAAATTGGTAGATAATGTTAACAGTAGAAGGTGGCATTTCCAGACAAAGACCTAAACTGGATAGATTTCCATTTCCATTGGATGAGTTATGAAAATGAACTTTCACAGAGAAAGAGCAGACCTCTTCCAGAAGAAGCAGTGTCCTAGGATTTCCGTTTATGTAGGAGGATGTGAATACTCTGCATAAATGATAAGAGAGGTTGCTTCAGTAGCAAGAGCACTCCATTTGCAACCAAATGGTTGAGAGTTCGAGTCACCAAAGAAGAGAAAAGTAGGAAAACACACTGTTGACCCTGGGGAGAGGGGGTTTTGGGGTGGGATCTTCTAGGTCAAACGAAACACAGACATACACACACAATATCTGCACAAGTTTGTGACATCAAAAAAAAAAACACCCATAATATCAGAACAATTGTGACTGATAGGAAAACTTGAACAGGCTGCATAAGTGTTACTAACTTTTCTGATTAGAATATTTTGATATTGGTGATACGCAACAAGCTAAAATTCTTTTGCAGTAATTTGTCAATTCAAGATGGACAATTTTTTTCCTTTTTAACAAACTACATCAAATTGGGCATTTGTGCTGAATCATCTCACATGGTAAAAACAAGTACTACAATCTCTTGTCTTGATAAGCTTAGCTGAAGTAGAAAACTTGCCGATAAATGTGCGAGGTACAACTCCAGGGAATTCCAGATGATCATACTAAGGTTGCAGAACAAAGAAAGAAAAAAACTCAACTCAATTAGTATACTCCGTAACATGAAATTCACCAGCAATGTGGGCGATAAAATTTACGGGGGATGGGGGGGGCGACAGGAAAGTAGAAGATCATTACCTTCTCTATCTGATGCCTGTGGTACAAAATATCATGCATAGCCTAATCAAATAAGGAGAAAAATGTCAATACCATGGGAGATGGGACAGAACAACACTTTTCAGTAGAAGAAGAAAAACAAAGTAGAGGAGCATGATCATCAAGGCTCAGTCAAGAAAATAATAAAAAACAGCCTCCAAACTACGCAGTTATACTATAACTTTCTAAGTTCTAACTATACTACACTTTTCAACTCCATCACACATTCTTCTGCTCTTGTAGCCTTCCCACACACACACAATTAAAACCATTTTACTACACTATGCATTTCCCAAAAGCCGCCAAAATCACTGATTTTAAAGAGAAACAACAGCAATCCAACCCAACCCAATCCATCTAAGATAATACGAATCACCCGTAAAGCAATTGGGTTTTTACTTTACGAAATACCCAACTAATCAACTCAACCCAATCAAGAAAACAGTAACTGAAAAGCCAAGAATCATTAAAAAGAAAGGGGAAAAAATCAAGATAACAGTAACTGAAAAAGCAAGAAGAATCATTAAAAAGAAAGGGGTAAAAATCAAGAAAATACAAGTGGACATGTACCTGAACATTGAAACTTTCTTCTACCTTAGTGTAAGGTACCATTAACACATAGAACGCAGCAATTGACCCCAATAGTAAATCGTACCCTTAAAAAAGATCGTTTCAATAAGCATAATTCTTGATTTCAAGAAAATATCACAAGTTTAAAACACAAAAGGGAAAAAAGAAAAATTGGGATTACAAATGAGATATTACCATATAGCTCCAAGAATTTGTCATACTTGCGTGCCATTGTAGAAAGAAATTGAAGAATTGAAGCAGTATTTTTTATGTGTTGTGTTTTTATCGGAGTCACCGAAAGAAACACCCGTTGAATGTCGGAAAACAAAAGGGGAAGACGGAAGTTTAACGTCGTATATATAGATATAGACTATATAGAGAAGACTACTCGTTATAATTTAAAGGGTAAAGGGTCCAAAATGCCCTCATCCTTATTTTGTTTTCTCAAAAACACCCTTCAAATATTTAAATACACTAAAAATATTCTTCCTCGTAATAGGTACTTCCCAAAAAAGGAAAAATGAATCAATTTTATCTTTGCACTAAATAAAATGAAACAATTTTGTTCTCGTTCGTTTTTAAAAAAAAAAAAAAAGAATCGGGAGAGGGGAGTTGAATGTGAGAAATATGATAAGATAAAAGAATCTATATCTATCTATCTATATCTATATCATATAAGTATTACTTTAAAAGCATGAACTCCTAACTTGAATGTTAAATTACTATAATATTCCTATCTTAGGTTGTGGCTTTTCCGATGAGTTGTGACTTTTCTGATAAGTTGTGACTTTTTTCAAAGGATTGTGATTTTTCAATGAGTTGTGACTTTTCTAAAGAGTTGTGACTTTTTTAATAAGTTGTGACTTTTTCAAAGGATTGTGACTTCTCGAAAACGTCATGACTTTTCAGGTAAGACACAAAAAAAAACTTGTTCATACTACCAGTTGTTGACTATAAATAGAGGGTCTTCCTCTCATTTTTCAACCACAATTTTTTTAATATTCTACTCTTCTTCTTCTAGCATTTTAAATAATTTCGTGTAATTTATTGTCGTTGAGTGAGTTCGAAGTGTAGCGAAATATGAGGTACCACTATTCTGATGAAACAAAAAACACTTGTTCATACTACCCTTTGTTGACTATAAATAAAGGGGTTTCCTCTAATTTTTCAACCCCAATTTTTTTCAATCTTCTACTCTTCTTCTTATTGAATTTTAAAAGAAAACTTGTGTGATTTATTGTCGTTGAGTGAGTTCAAAGTTAGCAGAATATGAGGTACCACTATACCCTCGAGTACTTGAGGAAAATAATTTTGATGATATGATAATTATTTATTTGCTTAGTATATACATTAGTGTGTAATGTTCAAATATATGAAGTTAACATGATGTAGTCTAAATTCATTTGTTTTGGTTAACAATTTCTCTTGTGATGTAGATATCTACTTCTAAATATCTTTTTCCAAAAATATTAAACTTGTTTAAAAGTTAGAGAATTCTCATGATTTTTTAATGCTCAAAACAAAAGAATGACTTTATTTATCAATGTTGCCTATGTGATTTAGAATGTCAGGAAGTTTGCTTCAAAATAGTTATTACTAAATAAACATTGCCCTTTCGTTTTCATTATTTACTATTTCTTAATATTTCAGTATTTTAGACGAAGAAAAATTCATATGATTTGTAATAACGCCACTTGAAGTTTGTATAGTTTAATTATTATTATTATTTATTTAATAGCTAATTTTAATGAGATAAATATTTTCATTAATGCAAATCTCTAACTTCAAAATATATTATTTTAAAATGGTCTGAGTTTCTTTTTTTTTTAAAAAAAAAATACATAACAAATGTGAATGTATGTGAATTTATATGAATCATTTAAAATTTATCATTTGCAATTAAATTTTATATTCAGTAATATGGAATAAACATTTTCATTTTGTCCCTACAATAAATTAAAATGTAATAACTGTAAAAAAAAAATAGTAACATTAATTAAAAGTCCTATTTATTTAAGTAAGTATAAAATTTATTAGAAATCCAGTCATTGCACATTAATTCTTTAGTTATAACATTATAAATTCTCTTAGATATTACTAACTATTGCAAATGTTATTCATACTCTTTTACATTCTTTAGTTATGATATTATGAATTCTCATAGTTAGTACATTAATTATTTCTATCTTTCATTTTTACTTATATTAACTTTTGACCAATAATTTTTCACATGATTACCACCCCTATATATATGATAACACAATGTTGTTATTTTCCTTCGACGAATCATGCTTGGTTGAATAAATTGAAAAATCGTTTACAAGTATATAAACTATATCTTTGTTCGGTGTAAGATAAATAGGTAATATATATATATATATATATGATTTCACAAATAGAATATATTCTTTGGTTTTTATTTATATTTTTTAGGTAAAAAAAAGTAACTTTTCCCAGTTTACTATTGACAATCATATAACTATCTTTGATTTATATACAAAATCAATCGAGAAGTCAAATATGAGGGCCAACAACAAGAACGTCATCTATTATATTATAACGTATAAAATAAAAATCAATATACAATAGTTCTAAAAATAAAATTTAATTGTTCTCTTCACATGTTCATATGACTATAAACAGTTTAATGTGAAATACATATGCAAAACACATCTGGTTAGATGATAAGAAAAAAAGACAACAAATATCGTCTATAAGGTAATATTGCTGAGATGTGACTAATTACATGATTGCACCTCATCAAATTGAAATAAATATATACATTATTGCATTGAACTAATAAATTTTTTCGTTGATCATCTTTGTAGGTTCTCGTGAATAAGAGATATATATATAACAATCAACATTGAACATTCACAAAAAAATCTACAATATTATTTTGTTCAAAGTTCATTATCTTCGCTTAAATAAGATATTTTCTGAATTGGTAATCACGTGCGTTTTCGAAAAACTAGTATCTATTATAAACACTTACCATTAAAGAATATAAAAAAGATTGACATATAGTTTTTTTTTCCTTCGGGTTTAGTGCAGTATGTGCCGTATGAGTTATTATTTTTTGAACATGATATCATAAAAGAAATCAATTTTAATTATATCTTGATACACTTTATTACTTATTTTAACTTTAATTCATTTAAAATTTCAGTTGAGGACCAGCATAATAAATGTTTAGTTGGAAAATTAATACCAATAATTAAACTTAATATTTCATAAAATTGACATTGCATTAAATTATTATTTAAAATAGTTAAATCAATCTCATAATCTCCAAAATAATTTGCTATTCAAATCTTTAAAATTAAGAAAACTTTAAATGGATTGTTAAATTAGCTGTAGGGAAGTCAGTTGAGTGTTGGTGATGAAGGGGATTGTCGATATAAGTAAGTGATGGCAGTGTTGTGCATTGAGAGCTAGAGTGGTAATTGTAATATGTTTTTTTTTTCTATCCGGTGTGCAGTACCCGCAGTAAGTGGTGTGAATAATTCGATTTCGGATGTTTATCAAGTGAAAAGAATGAAGCGTGGTGTGAATAATTCGATTTCGAATGTTTATCAAGTGAAAAGAATGAAGCGTAGGACCCTAACACATCCTAGTCTCCAACAATCAGTCTTCTATTATAATCAACAAGAAGTTCAATGTATGTAATAAAGCATTGTAAACATCACACTTGTCCAGGCACAAAAGGCCTAATATACTAGCTATTGCTTAAGTAGTTAAGTGCAATGTTTAGTCATATCAGCTTATTGGTAGTTGGAATCCTACTAGATGGTCATAAAAGTCATGAATTTTCCTATGCAGATTGGCTGGATGTGGCTGGATCAGCAGAAACAGGGAGGCTTCCCATCCATGCTGGTGGCAACATTCCAGTTTGTTCATGCACAGTCTCAAGAAAAGGAGGCAATGCTTGGTAAATAGAAGCCAATTCTTTGATTCCAGCATGTCCACCACTTGTTCCATCAACCATCTGTCCATTTGTGCCACCATTACTCCAAATGCTGATTTTGGGTTGAAGTCCCTTGATTGCTTCAGCATTGAACTTGGCGATGTCTTTGAACATTCCTTTGTCGATCATCATGTAGTCTCGCAGGGCGTTGTAGTTTCCTCCCAAGGCTGACATCAGACTGCGTACATAAACGCCCTCTGCTTCTGCAATGCCCTTTAGTCCTTCCGCCTCTTTCTTTTTGGCATAGAGTGCAGCATCAGCAGCTAGTTGTACAGCATATGTCTGAGCTTCTGCTGCCAATTTCTTAGCCTCGGCAGCTTTTCTATTTTCATAAAGCTCTGCTTCTGCTTCCTTCTGCTTCTTGTACAATACTGAATTGGCTTCTTGCACCTAGAGTGTTTTCATGTCAAACTTTGGATGAGTAGTAGCATGGTACATAAACAATGGATTCATATGACAGAATAAAGTATTAGACTTACAACTGAAAATAGACAAGAAGGAAAAGAGCCACATGCACGACTACATATATTGGGCAAAGTCACAAAAGAAAGAATGTAACTGGAAGGAAACACAAGCAAAGTCATGTAACAGTTGAACATGAAATCATCAAATCATACTGATTTTGTGGACTATTAAGTGAGTAAGCCATCTCACATGCAAACATCTAAACACAAAAATAACATGAAATAATGATAAATAAAAGCAATCTAACTTACTCTAGTAATATCAGCAAATGAAAAGTCAACTCCATGAATTCAGACAAAGATACTAAAAGAGAAGTGTTGTGACATGATGAACTTGCCTTAATCTCATAGTCAACAGTAGCCTTACTGAGGTGTTGTGCTTTGAGGCTCTCTGTCTTAGTCAATGCATTCTTTCTCTCAACTTCTTGTTGTAATACAGCCTCCCGAATTGCTACAGCTTTCTGGGCTTCGATCTCTGCCATTTTTGCCTGCTGAGACCACCCAGCCTTCTTGGTTGCCAGAACAGAATTCGCCTCTGCCACTTCAGCTTCTCTCTGATTTTCATATATCTTAACATCAGTCTTCACTTTAACCTCCTCTTTCTTTCCATCACCATCCCTTTGGGTGGATATGATCTTTGTCTCAGCGTCAATCTTGGCAGCATTTTGACGTGTGAGACCTTCTCGCTCCTTAGCTCCAATCTCACCCTTCATTTTGGCCTCAGAAACATCAATTTTAGCTTGGTTTGCAGCTTCCATTTGAGTTTTCTGCCCCAAGTAAGAAAAGTATTCGTGCCCTTGAACATCGACCAGTTGCTTAATGTTAGCATTGTAAATCAGCAAGCCAAATTGGTTGAGCTCAAGCTGAACCTTGTCAAATACCTCCTTCTTGAAATCTTTTGTGCCTTTAAAGATTTCCTCCATGGTCATGGAAGCAGCCAAGACACGAGTCTCTCCCTCAATGACACCTTGAACAAGGTCCTTCACATCGTGTGAATCACGTTCATGGTGGGATAGAAGTTTAGCATATTTGATAAGTCTCTCACGGTCATCCACACATGGACCTATAGTGAAAACAGCAGGGAGAAGGAAGGGCAGCTTCTCAGCACTCATAGCATTGACTTCAAAAGTATAGTTCACAGGAGTAACATCAATGATTCGACATTTCTGCAATGGCCATACTAGTGCCTTTTTTGTGATCTTCAGTTCATTAATACCAATCCCAGTGATCACCAGAAATTCAGATGCCCTTGCTACGTGGTACATCATGTTTGCAGTTCCTTGATCTTCCTAACATGACAAGTAGAGGTTGTCAAGAATCAAGACCCACAACACCACACACGGACAAGTAGAAACTTACATTTTACTCAAACTTAACAGTATAAAAACTATCAGAAAATCTCATTCAAGACAGAAACACAGTTTACAACTAGTTTAAATTGTTGTATGTAAAGCTCATTAATAATCTGAAAAAGGTTTAGTCATTCGGTTGTAAAGCCAGCATACTTCCAGGCTGCAGAAGATGATTAACTCGAAATACCTTTTCCAAATTTGGTACAGATTCAAGTTTTACCTTACCCCAAAGAGTTTTTGACCCCTTTTCTCAATGTTAGAATACCTCAAGAAATCTTCCTTCTGGTTCATATGACAAAAGATAAAGTTCAAATATATTCCTTGTTAAGAAAAAAAAACAAGAACTCCATGCCCTCTTTGACTAAAGAAATGAAAAAAAAATACTACTCTCAACATTAAATTGTAGCAAAATACATCAAGAAACTGCAAGAGTCACCAACAAATTGCCAGTGAAGTTACAAAACTAAACGCCTAAAAGCACATACGACATTAAATTGTCATCTTACTTTCTCAAAATGGGCAAGTACATGAATTGTAAAGAAACAGTTGAACAGGACAAGAATTAAATAGGAAGGAGCATAGTGGGAGTAAGCTATTGACACTAGCTTCAATATTCAGCAACTTGAAACATTAAGAATCTGATCCAATCAAACACAGAGAAATGAATAAAAAGTAAACTAAAACCTCAACTAATTCTACGGAGTAGTATCTTCTACTACTAGTCAGGTACAGGGTAATCACGCCGAACTTTAGACCTCATGGTAATCAACTCATTTTATTGATCACTAGACCGGTAGGCCACATCTTTGGATATTAAAGATGTAAACAAAGAAAAGTTTTGCCACTAGTCAATTTGTAAAATATTGTCTAATCCAACTATGGTTTTTGCACTTTCATTTTAGTCGGGCAAAATACAAGTAAAGATGTAGAAGAGAATCAAACAACTATAGACGAGACAGCTCAAAAAGCAAAGGCAGAAATCAAGTCATATTCAAAGTAGCAAAGTTTATTTTACTAAGGGGTTCCAAAATATGAAAAAATAAGCCCAAAAAGAAGCCGAAAGGGTTTAACATCTCAATATCTCATACATATACATAAAAATAAACAATATAACTTTCCACAGGAGGATAGGAAGAACCCCTCAGCAGTAACTGGCTCCGCCCCTCCACCCAACAGATCATATGAAAGGAAAAACAGTTTCTTCGCAGGGTTTTATGAAAAATAATTTTGCATTTCAGGTTTCTTCACTATACACAAAGTCACAAACACACACACACACACATAATCACAAGACTAAAAAAGAAATCACACAAAAAAATGATAAAAACTTCAAGTCCAAATATTATTTAAAAAAAAAAACAAAATCGCTCAACCATAGAAACATAATGAAGAACTCATTCGTTCTTCCAAACTAGACACATGAAGCTCTTTCGAACAACAACAACAACAACAATATACCCCAGTGAAATGCCAAAAGAGGTAAAATGTACGCAAATCTTACGAAATACCCTCGACTCAAGTGTACATGAAGCTCTTTCGAAATGAACATGAAATCTATTTTTTACGATAAACCAAAAGAAAAAAAATAACCCCAAGTAAACAGAATTTTTTTTTAAAAAAAACACCATTTTTAAGATGAAAAAGGTAGGAAAAATACTTTACTTTTTGAATGAAGGTTACCTCTGAAACTCTAGAAATGCTTCCAAGTCCCTAAAAAAAAATACTTTGTAGATGAAAGGAGACTATATATATATATATATATATATATATATATACACACTGTCAAAACGCCATTATTACTGTTGTGTAACAGACCAATTTCCATTAAGGGATAAAAGGAACATGCCATGAAACTTCACCTCTGTTATGGAAAAAAAGCTACTGTTAAACGAAAGCCAATAATAACATGACAAGTGGCTGTGTAGTAGTACCACCATAATTAAATTAATAGAGTACTATTTTTACCTATTACTACTACTCAATTAATTATGGTAAAATGATACTATTATATGATTTTGTTCTATATTCAAATCTTATACAGTTTCGTCCTCCATTAAAAACATTCCGTATTGATCAAGCTAGGTATAGAGTTTTAAATTCAAAATCAAAACCTAGTGATTTGTATTTACTGATATTAATAATTTGATACTATGATCTTTTTCCATATCTAACTTCTTATATTCATTCCTCTTGTTTTGAAATAGTGTATAAGAATAGTAATGAATAAAATGTATTATTAATATTGATATTAGTAAAGTTGAGATTATTTCTTATCCATTATTTGGTTTGGTGTATTAAATTATATAACATTCATTATATAATTTCTTTTTAAAAAAAATATTTACAAAAATATCCTTTACGAAATATGGTGAAAATTACATGGAAAAGTTGTGAGGTGCAATTGTGTTTTTACATAAGTTGAAAAAGAATGTACCGAACAACATATAAGTAAAGCATTAAGTTAATGTATATGGCACACATGAGGCCGGCCAGTTTCCACCTGTCAATTTTAGTATTCCTTGGCGCTTTCCACGCTGGGACAGGATAGGGGAGCTAAGCACCTCCAGTTGCGCGTCACCCCCAAGTGTTGAAACGTGTGCGCGGGTCTTTCTTCTTTGCAGGTTTCGTCAATGATCCTTCCGCAAATTCACCTACGGAAACATTGTTATGACTTCTCCTTCCTCTAAATGATAAGATTCAATAGACTTCTCGCGATGTCGGACAGTAAACTGCCCATGTCGCCACGATTCAAACATTTCACCGGATCATCAATCGGTAGGAGTGACGGGCGGTGTGTACAAAGCAGAGGTGGAGCTAGGTGGGGGTTCGTGGGTTCAGATGAACCCAGTAACTTTTTCGCAGACCATGTATTTGTACTAAAAAAATAATTAAATATTTATGTATATTAATTTGTGAACCCCTAACAAAATTGATCGACAATTTTAAAGGAAATTTAGAACCCCCAAACTCTGTATGCTGGCTCCGCCTCTCAATTACAAAGGGAAGATTTTTTTCTAATAATGGAAACTGCCAAACGCCCCCGAGTACTGAAGTTGAGATAAACACTTTGAGGTCAAATCTTGATTAGTTACAACTTTACAAGGGCAATTGAATTATATTCTTAGAATTATTGTGTTTTCTGTTTTTTTTTGCTGTAGTTACACCGACTTTTTGAGGACATAAATGTATGTTATTCTTCAATTATAAATTGTTCAGTCAATTGGTTAAATATTCACTGAAAAATCACCATTTTCAGTAATAGAAATTAGTACTCTCTGAAATTGAAATAATACTATTGAGGCATTACTTATATTTGTGTATATCGCTGGTGGTCAACATTTTAGAAAGAACTATATATGGGTACTGGATGCATCAGAATTGCATGAAATCAGGGTCCATTAAATCCTTGTTAGAGCCGAATCAACTTTAAAATAGTTTTTAAGTTAAAAATAAAAAAGTCAAATTTAAATGACTTTAAAATTTAAAAAAAAAAAGTAAAGGGAAACTACTTTTGATTTTTCACCTTTTTAAAGTTATTTTTAATTTTGTTGAACACTTCCAACCGTTAAAAATGACATAAAATTAGATTTGATCAATTTTAAGTCAATCCAAACAGACTCTTACTCTGTAAAAGCAAATTTCTTTAGAAAATGTTTTTAAATATTAGTTTGCCTTTAAATAAGAAAATGCTAATTTCCTATTCAAAAAATATTATTCACCAGAGTGTCAAAAATTATAAATTGTTACTTTACATAGATCATCTTTCTAACTTTCTTATTTAAAACTTATTACTCGTTTCACTTAATGCGGTCATGTTATATTGTTATTATTCTCGTAAGATATAATTAAATACCTTTTCGTTTCAATTTATTTGATTTATTTAACTAAGTACATATTTTAACAAATAGAAATTTTAAGAACGGAAAAGGGTCATATTTACCCTTATACTCTTAGAAAAGGATCATATTTATCTTTCGTCATATTTTTTTGATATATTTACCCTTACCATCCAACTTTGGGCACATATTTGCCCTTGTACAGTTAAGTATTGTGTCACCATTTTTATTAGTCTATGTGGCACCTACATGGCGCCTAGGTGGCTCCATGCGTATATATTTTTATTATAATTAAATTTTTACTTTCTTTTTTGTATTTTATCCGACCCATTTAGTAAAATCCGACCCAACTAAAATAAAGATCCATTACTTTCATCAAATCTGCTAAACCAAACTCACCTTTATCATCATTCAGCCACACCGACTTAGTTCAAATGACTTCTTGCCATCACTCAAAATTCGCCTCCCAAGTTATGGCTCCTCAAAACTTTCAATTGAAGCACGACAAGTTTGTTGGTAGCGACATATGATGTATATTACTATAATCATGATCAATAACAGTACAATTGATTATATCATAATCCATATTGAGATGCTTTAATTCGAATTACTATCCGGACATTATTGAGTGCTATTATTTGCGTTGTTGTCGTTGATGCTGGTGTTGGTGTCGCTGCTGCTATTTATGGCTTGATTACAAGCTTTGCCTAATTTCTCACCACAAAGCTTGGAATTCCCCTTAAACAAACTCTCATTGAATCTTGATCCACTTTCAAGTTATTAGTAGAAAGATCGAGTGATTCTAATATCGACTGGTTCGAGACTGCCGACTGGCGGTATTGGACATGAGAACTGGTTGTTCTCCAGGTGCAATTCAATGAGATATTGCAGCTCCATTAATGACGACGAAATTTCACCCGAAAATTTGTTGTCCAAGAGCCATAATTTCTTCAACGACAACATTTTCTCGAAGTAATTTGAAGGAATTTCACCACAAAATTAATTTTCTGACAAATAAAGACCTTTTAAAGCACCCATTCGATTGAATTCCGGAATTGGTCCATAAAATAAATTGGTTTGAAAACTAAGTGTACGCATATAATTCCAGATAAATTCGTTTATGCAAGAAGAAGTCCAGTAACCATTTTTTCTGACAAAAAACACCCAACCAACATATATTTTTGTCACACGAATCCATTCCGGGTATTGGAATCGGGTCAATGGGTCTTTATTTTGGTTGGGTCAAATTTTACTAAATGGGTCGGATATAATACAAAATAGAAAGTAAAATTTTAATTATAATAAAATTATATACACATGGAGTCACGTAGGCGCCATGTAGGTGCCACATAGACTAATAAAAATGGGGACACAATACTTAACTATACAAGGACAAATATGTACCCAAAGTTGGATGATAAGGGCAAATACATCAAAAAAATATGACGAAGGGCAAATATGACCCTTTTCTAAGAATACAAGGACATATATGACTCTTTTCCATTTTAAGAATTTATAATTTTAAATTTATCATAATACTTAATATTTGAGATTTTTAAAACTTATAACCTTATATATGTCATAATTGATTATAATTTTAAACCGTTAAACTCGCCACACATTGAGTATTTCAGTAAATGCTTGCTCGTTTTGTTAATATAGCTATCGAATACTCTTGCTCAAATACCTACCTAGATACACCTCTATGACACAAATATCGGGTAATCACCAAAAAAATAATTATAATATTATATAATACACCTTAAAATTTGAGAAAAATGAATCAGAACCAAACAATTTAATAAATTACATTTTTCCTTGGTTTTTATGAAACTGATATAGAGTACCTAGGAAGGTCAAGTTTTATTTCTACGGGAAAGTATCGAATTTTTTTATTATGGGAGACGCACAACCAATAAAAGGTGTGTGAGACTCTGTTAACTTTTTGACACATGGATAAGTGAATCATTTGTCGAGATCCAATTTTCATGAGCTCAACCTGGCAAGAGTTTTTGTGTTTTGCTTCATACATATTCAACTCTGAAGCATCCTCAATCGGTTCCTTTAGGTTTATTTGATGTGTTTTTGCGTTGTTTCTCCTAGTTGTGTGGTAATAGTATCCCACTTTTTTTTTCCAATTCAGTTGACATATTTTGAAATTATATGTGATCAAAAGGTCATTTATGGTGATTGTACTTTGGAGGTGGCGGATAATTTACTTCTTCAGAGAGAACTTAAGCTGCAAATTCGTACATTTCACATGGCAAGGGGTAACAAAGAATAAGGCAATTACCAGATAATTACAGACCTGATGGGCAATTTCAAGTAAGAGATTGTACGTCTCTGTTTTTTCCTGTGGCAATTGGGCGGGTTATAATGGACTAAAATAATAATAAGGGAATTTCGTCAAAATCCATCCGATCCAAATTTGTTTGGCTCAAAACGGGTTAGTTAATGAGTAATATAATGGTCAAGATCCAACCCAATTCATTTTTTACCAAGCTTATTAGTATTTTATTTGTTCTTTTAAATATTTTAGTACATAATAAAATCATTTTTTCCCCTTTATTACTACTATATATATAACATATCAAATTGAAAGAAAAAAAAAATATTTTGACAAGATTTCTCATGAGCTAATTTGATTATTCGGGTTACATATCTACTCAATTTTTAATGGATTGAAATGACAATCCACCAAACTTAAATGTATTGGGCATATTTGAATGGATTGAGTTTGATTTGTCACCTCTAATTTTCCTGCGGTCACAACAACTTCCCTTGTTTATATATAACCCACTTATACTTTGAATCATATTATTAGAGTTGTTTAAAATCGAATGATATATGATGATTCAATTGCAGAACTAATGATTAGTGAATAGA